TTTATATTAATATTTTGTTTTATTATTTCTATAGAATATTCTTCACGCTTTCATTTATTGCAGTTGTAGTCGTCTCAATGTTTTTTATATCTAGTGCTTACTCAAAATGGCGCTCAACTCCGGTAATATTATCACTTAATCCAGAACCAACAAGTATTACAGAGGATCCTTTTCCTGCTGTTACTATTTGTAATCTGAATCAAGCACTAAAGAGTAAAGCCAAAAGTTATAAGAAGTGAGAGAAAAATTATATATTTTAAATGTTTCTTTAAAAAAATTTTATAATATATTTTATATAACAGGAACACTACTGAATATGAAATATTAAAGATAATTTGTGGACATAAGTCATCGGTTAAAAATGCTTCAGTGCCAATAAACGATTGGAAAAAATTGGATCAAGTTATAATTGATGTGAGTACTTGTAAATACTACTTGTAAATAGAACTATTAGCCATAATTATAAGAACTACTTAGGGTTCCAAAAATAACACTTTAACCTATATATTATATAAACCTAAAATAGAATAAAATATTATATAAAAATCAGCTTTGAAATATGTAACATGCATGAGAAATTATTACAAAAATTACAGCTAAGAAGTAGATTTTTTTACAAATAAATTACAATTCTTCCAGAAACTACATTTAAAAGTATTTTTTGACTACCGGATCATTGCAGGATTTTTCAGCCAAAACCTACTTACTATATACCTTACATTGAAATGATTTTTTCAAATATTTATAAATAGATTAACATTATTTATTAGATCGATTATTATGCCCATAGCTGTTGTTTGCACAAGTAAGTCTGCATTGCTATTCGTAGATCAGTGAGATATCGTTGATTTCATTGAATAACTAAAATTGATTAGTTCTAGGACTCATAGTACTAATGATGACATGCATTATTTAACAATTCAGTATTACTTAAATTTTTGCATTAATATCAGAGCTCACAGGATAGACCCTAATGCCGTGAAAAATAGTTTCTGATACAATACTATAGCACAGTATTATATTAAATCCTTTATTTTAAAAAGTTTGATGTCACCTTCTAATTTCAGGTATCACAACCATGTTCTAGACTATTAATATCATGTCGATTTGGAGCTATAAATTATGATTGTAAAACTATTTTCCGTCCAATAGTCACAGATGCTGGTCTTTGTTGTGTTTTTAATATGGTGCATCCGGAATTTATGTATATACCAGAGTAAGTTTTTATTTTAATACAACTTTCTTTATTAAAAACTATTGCATGCTAAATAGTGACTTTTCCACTATTCTGAATTTTACCTATTAGTTTAGAAAAGAGTGGAAGCGAAGTCAAGTTAAGTTTTAGATCACCTCTCTTTTAAATTTCAAAAAAATTGTGGGAGTCCCTAAAATAAATCTAAGATTATTAGATATCTTAGCCAATCTAGGTCACCTATAAGATTTGAAAATGATTTATATTGACGATAAATCTCAAAAAAATGAATTCTTATCAAAGAATTCTCAATGAATCTTACAGTCTTAAAGATTTATAACAGCAGAACGATAGAATAAACGGTGGAATGTATAGAGAACATTTTACTTTCATAACAGTGTCTTAAACTACATCAGCTTTATGATTAAAATTCCAGAACGATACATTTTAAAAAAAAAATCTCAAATGTAATTTATAGTCTTATAGACTTATACATAATATATAAGTCGAATATATATAAACGATGCTTTAAGCAGTTATTATGATTTAAAAACTGGACTAACATTTATTTATCAAATCAACAACCATAAGATTTGATATTGGGCTAAACCAATATTTCGGAACCAATGTTTAAAATATTACAAATTTATTATTTCCATCTAAATTCTCTAATTATTTCAAGATTGTTTCATTTTCAATAATTATTAATAATATTCTTATTTAGTGTAAATAACATTGAAAACATTTCATATACTGATGGTTCTACACCAGTAGATTGGGATCCCGAACATGGATATCCAAAAAATTTACCACCACAATATTATCCAAGAACAGCCGTCGGTACTGGAGAAAATCTTGGTTTCACTGTGATGCTAAATCTAGAACCAGATGAATATTATTGCTCATCTTCTAATGGTATGGGTTTTAAGATATTTTTACATAGTCCCACCGAAACTCCACATGTTAAAGAGGTTGGACTCTTTTTAGCAGCCGGAATGGAAAGTAAATTGCGTATACATGCAGAAAAATTTGAAACTGATCTAAAATTAAGATCAATGCGTAAGGACTATCGTAAGTGTTTATTCGACACTGAAGGAGATTTGGTATATTTTTCTTATTACACTAAACGAAATTGTGAAATGGAATGTCTAACAAATATGATAATGAAACATTGTGGTTGTGTAACATATTATATGCCCAGAATGTACAAATATAGTAAAGTGTGTAGTGTTAAAGATGAGGAATGTGTGGAAAAATATCGT